GTCTCCGAACAGCATTAAACACGTCCAACACCAGCTGACGTGAATCATTACAACTTCACCAACTGAAAACAACTACTGAAGACTTGTTTACATTTTAAATGGCCCAGGTTTTGTTTGTGTCTTCGTTAGCAAACAACTTGTTTTCCTTCCAGCTTCTTCTGCTTCATTTATTATCGGGCTGTGTAGCATTGCATATACTGTCAGTTTCTGACAACAAAACACAACCTACCTTATTGAGTCCAAACAGGCCGAATTCACGTGTTCTTTTTAAAGAAAATTCAAAAGTTTGCTTCAAATTCTCTTGATAATGACATGGAAACACGGCTAGTGTTAATGAGAGCAGCTAATATTTGCTGCATGGACAAACTGTTTAATTATCTAAGCTCACTTGTTAGCGTAGTTAGCTCTGGTTAGCTAGGTAGGTAGTTTGAACCACCTTGCTAAGCTAAAGAGATATAGTTACTGTCTGTTTGCCTACAGCAGCTGTTTGAGTCAGATTAGCATTAGCTTTGTTGTTGCTCTAGCTAACACTAGCTAAGTGGCTACATGTAGCACATGTTGAGCTTGCTAGCTAAAGAGGGAAGAGGCCAGCGAAGGTTGAAACAGCAAATATCATGAATTATGTCATTATAGAGCAATAACAGACTTATTTGAAACAAAAATATGAAATAATAAATATCTGTTATGACTTATGTAAACATTTTTCATCTTATCACGTTTTATCTGATCCAATTCAATGTTGAAGACTTAATCGATGTTGAAGACACTCTGAAAACAACACAAACACCAGTAATGTTTAACATAATTTATATTTATTTTCTTTTGAACAAAATGTTAATAAATGTATTTGTTTTACGTCCAAAAAAGATCATGACTCGTGGGACGCATTTTATAAATAATTTCATCCAAGTCTTTTGTAGAAAAAAAAGAAAGTAAATTAGCAAACTAAAGCATCTCTAGTATGACAATATGACAACTTTATCATAATTTTTTTTCTCTATATTTGAACCCTTTTTCTCAATTCAAGCTTCATTTTTTTTGTATATTTTTCTTAAGACCTCTTTATCTCGTCTTTTTAACATCCAACTTAGTCCTACTCATCAACTCACACCACTGCTTTAGACAACAGAAAAATGCGGCAAAAATCTCAAAAAACAGACGAAAACCAAGGAGGCGAACAGAAAACACAGTGAGATCCAACAGTGGGGAGGGAGGCCGGGGAAGGTGGGAGGGGGACGGGTCGGGATCCCACATCCTCAGGACATATTTACAACAGAAAGGACAAGGGGGGAGGTGGTGGAGGTGGAGGTGGAGGTTGGGGGAAGTGGTTTGGGATGGGTTCATCTGCATAGATCCACAGGACTCAGATCATGAACAGCTAGAGATGGAAGGGACGGAGCACAAAGTGTGGGCCTATTACATCCGCTGCTGTCTTCAAGGGAATGTCGTTCTCATCAACAGAGTTTGTCGAGGAAATAAAATTAAAAACAACAAAATTACACAAGAGTACCGAGCAAAAAGAGAGCAAACTGGGGAGGCTAAAAGTCTACGCACCGCATCGTGAAAATCCAGAGGCAAACTTGACTTTCATGTGACATCCCACTCCGATGCTGTGTGAGCGAAGAGCGAATCGATGGCCGTTACGTGATGCGAGGCGAGGTAAGGTCAAGCTGTTAATGGGGACGGGGGAGGGGCACCCATACCATGTTTTCACAGCCGAGACAATTTGCAGGCAGTTAAAACTTCAATCTGTCTTTAGCCGATCATTAGAGGCAACCAGGATGGAGGACGGAGGGGAAAAAAACAAAAAAAAACTGCTTCATTAGTAAGATTCATCGTCCTCAGCTTCACTTTTTGGTATGTCACTAGTTGCTCGTGGTATCAAGCTTTGGATTAATCTCTTTTTCTGTCCAATCTCTAGCTAAAAAAAAAAAAAGGAACGTCTTCTTAATCCCTGCGAGACCTGTCCTCGTGTCAATGTGCACGTTACTAGCAGCAGTCAAGCAAAAGACAGAAGAAGAAGAAGAAGAAAAAAAAGCGAGAACAAAATCAGATGGATCAGCCCTTGAAAACTCCTCACACTCCTCACACGCTGACACTAACACAGCAGCCCTTTGCTAGTCTGTGAGAGATAGCGGTTGATCAGCTCGTCTACGGGTGATTTAAGAGTCACCGGTTTGATTGATTGATTGATTGGCTCGCCGGCTGGTCACTTGCAGCAGCTATTACACTGGAAAGCCGAGCCATCAGGAGTGAAGATGCCACAAAGTAGGACACTAACCTGGCTGTTTTTTTTTCTATATTGCTCCATTGCCAGCTTCTGCCTCACTGGGTTTACGCAACAGAGAGGCACTCAAAGATCAGGGGCCTCATTTATCAAGCTAAAGGTACGTCGCCACAGCGGGATCTTACCCCAGGAGACAGGGGCATTCTGAAGAAGTCACTTCTCCTGCCTGCGTTTCCAGGCAAAGAAGAGCAAGTTTTACCCTCCAGAAAGTGCCTGTTGGAGGGGTGCTACTTTCTAAAGGTTCAAGAACTTGGAGGATGGGGCGTGCAGCGCTAAATGTTGCTGATTAGTCAAGGACTCTCGCATGTTCTGCTGCGTTGTTAAAGGATCAGTGTGTAGGGATTAGATTCATCTACTGGCAGAGTTCTAATATTCATAAATAGGTCTTCATTAGTGTGTTGTTGTCGTTAGCTAAGAATGAGCCCTTTGTGTCTACAGAGGGAGTGGGTCTTCTTCCTCAATGTTTGCCATCTTGCACCACCATGTTTCTACGGTAGTCCAGAATGGGAAAACGTGGCTCTGAAGAGGTCCTGTTATGTATTTTTTTGTGGGGAAAACAGGTTCTTCTAGACGCTTGGAAGGGGGGAGTAAGCCGAGAGGTATTCAGTTAGTTAGGTTAATCGTAGCGTCTGGACTTGCTTGAGTTCCTTGAGGACGTTTCACCTCTCATCAGTTCTGACTGACTGGTTGGGAGTTCCAGATATCCTTAAGGAGTCCTCACTTAACAAAGGGGAGGAGCAACAAACCTCCAGTTGAAACCAAAACTCAGGTGTTAATGGCTCCTTAAGGATATCTGGAACTCCCAACTAGTCAGTCAGAACCGATGAAGCCTCTTGGATGAGAGGTGGAACGTCTTCAAGGAACTCAAGCAAGTCCAGTTGCTACGATTAAACTACGGGAATAATCAGGATGACTGAGCATCTTCACAGACATGTTCAGTTCGTTGCAGCCTGCTGGATGCTACACACTGCACCTTTAAAAAGCTGTAAACCACAAACTGTATATAAAAGACGGACGTAACCTCCGGGTCTAAAAAGGCCAGTGCAGGACCTGCATTCTTCTAACAGCCAGCAGGGGGCGCCTCCTCTGGCTGCAAAAAGAAGTCAGATGCTATAGTGGTCTTTGAGAAACTGGCCCTACTTCCTCTTTGATCTGTTACCTCAGGACTCGTTTTCCTCATGAGCTTATGGTCTCGATCGCTAGTTTCAATCTACCACAACACGGCATGATGTTCATTTTGTAAACTACAGTCCTGTTTAGAGTGTCTTTGATGGCAGAGCTGTACTGTATCGCAGCGTGTAGTGTCCTTGAGTTCTGAGTCACATCCATCTGTCTTTGTTTTATGTCAGGTCTGGTTTCAAAAGAGCAAGATGGTGACGGATAAATTCCAAACTCAAGGCTGGAGAACGGAATCCAGTGGGTGATATCGACGGGGGCTACGTCCATCTTTTATACACAGTCTGTGCAGCGAAACACGCCGTTCTTGTAGTTTGTGGCCGACAATCGTCAGGACTGAGCAGCCCAAGAGATCCTACAATGAATGGAACGATGATAAAATCCACTGTAGTGATTCTAGGACCGTCTAGGATACGTCAGCTGGCTTTGTGCTTAATCTTTCTGGCAATTTGGCAAAGATTTAAAAGATCAACATTACAGTGGCCCCTAATCGTAGCCAGTGTTGTTAGCAAACAGTTCACCTGCTACCTAGCATGAAGTTAAAGTTGACACTAAAGAAGCTCCAACTTCCATTTCTCTTTGAGTTTAATGGTATATTTTTACTCAAGGGGGAATGAGATTGGGCTTCCAAAAGAAACCACTTATACGGACATGGCTGGCTAAGTGCCCCACTAGGGTTTTGTTTGTTGGTGTTTGTGGTCAGAAGTCTGCTGTAAATGTATGCGCATTCAGAAACACACGACCCAACAGATGAACCGGATTCCGTGTGCGGGAACGAGCTTCAGCGTCCTTGATAAATGAGGCCTCTGGTGTTTTGGCTTCGTGCAGCTGTCCTCTAGTGTCCCTGGGTTGTCCCTGCAGTCTTAAAGTCTGACAGGTCGAAATACTCGCTGTGGCTCCACCGACTCCACCGTATGAGGTAAACTGAACACTTAAAAAAACCAGAGAACACCACTTCGGGAGCACCGCGCGGCGACTACGCTCGGCTGGATCACGCCCCGCCATCGCGAGCTGCTACCTTTGCCACTTCACCCCTCCTGACTCGCTCAACGGCCAACCAGCTAGAAGAGAAAGCGAGCCAGTCTCAGAGCACTTAAGGTTCCTAAAATGTGTAGGCATGTACCGTCGTAGGGGGGATGAGAAAAGGTGCAGAGGGGACAAAAATACAAGCCGAACATCAGAACACAGAAGAATCAACATACAGTTTTTGTTTTCAGAGAAACAAGACCCACATGAGTGATGGATGAGCTGGTCCTGGCAGGCCCTCGAGCAAACGGTACAGACACGCTAGTGAAGGAGACGCCTCCCAGGTGGGACAGAGGAGGACGTGGAACACAGTTGATATGTCAAAACATTCTGGCACCTGAAAAAAGGGTAATGACGAGTGAGAGCGCAGGCTTCGTCGATGTCCGTTGTTCCTCTGACATGCTATCCATACACACAGCAAAAACGGAGGGAGGAGGGAGGGAAGGAGGGAAGGAGGGAAGGAAGGAAGGAGGGAAGGAGGGAAGGGGAGGAGAGGAGGGACAATATGCTAGAAAACATTTGGATGGAATAGAAACAATGAGCAGGTTTCAAGTGGCAAGAGGTCAGTTCTTTTAGGGGGGTGGTTCTCAAACATCGCGGTTTGGTCGATGTCCAATCCCAGCACCCTCAGCTCCAGTTCAAACCCTCCCACTTCCTGTGGTTGATGGTTCATCGGCGGCAGATTGTAGAGGCATTTCCAGCACGTCTCGCCAGATGTGTCCCTGGCAGCCATGACACTGTAAAAGCCATAATCCTGCTCCGGCGACATCATTCTTTGCAAGCTCCAGCCTTGATTCAACCCCAAGGTTCACTCCTCGTTAGAAGCACTCTCATCTGGTGAGAAAATGGCAGCCACGCCCACCAATGTAGAATTATGGGAGGCTGAAATGATGATGACAGTGTGTAGGAGGACGAGGGCCAGCAGGCAGATCTTCAGTCGCCCGCTGCACAGTCTCGGGGTGGCGGCGGAGGTGACCGAGGCCCCCTCGGGCTGGCAGGAAGAAGCAGTCCTTTTTAGCGTGCCGCCTGAAGGGTTGTCCATTTTGGAGTCCCATCGGACGTCGCAGCACTGCGCCTCGCTGTCTGATGGACGATCCCTCAAGAGCCCTGAGAAAGAGATGACAGCGAGTGAAAACGCTGACTGTTCTCTGCTGTTTAATTCTATTTAAAACAAGGGTCACTGGTAATCTGGTGTTCTGTTAAAAACACGTTTGCTTTGCAAATAAACACCAATAAATGACACTTCTGTGGCTTTGAGATCACGAGACATCAGGATTTCCAAGAGAAAGAATCCCACATCTATATTCAGTATAATTCATTCCTCTGTTAAAGCTGCAGGATTTACCAGATGGAAGATGTTCAGCTGCTCCATCCTCTTGTTCTGCTCTGAGCTCCAGCTTTAGTTCATGGTGGCTAATGTTAGCAAACTTCAGATAGATGCTGTTGTATAAACAGTTTGCTCACTTGTTTTTCTGTTAAACTTCATTTTAAAGTCTGTCAAAGTTAACTTCATCCTGACGTATTAAATATTCATGAATAACTAAATAAATAACAATCAAAGCTAATGTTCATAAAACTAAATATCCTCGGATTTGTCACACATTGAGAACAAAACCTGCTTCAGCACGACGTGTGATCGTAGTTTGATCTGATTCTGTCTTTCAGATAATTATTCAGATGTCGTGATCTCTGACTGGTGCGTGAAAGCATCACTTTGTCCAATAAGAAATAAACAAACATCGATCATCTCTCGTGTGGAAGAGCAGAATAGTTTGTGTCGGGCTCAAAGTTCGAGGCTGACTCAGGAAAAAGCTGTTTTTGAAGGCCTTTAAAATGCAACTACACACTGAAGCTCAAACATCCAAAGAAAGTCACAGAAAGCACAAGTTTATAAAGAGTTTTAAGTTTCTAAAGGGAAACTGAAGACGTAGTGAATGAGGGACGAGCACGTTGTCCAGAAGCAGCCGGGCGGCGCTGAGACGTCCAGTAAAGCTGCTGATGTCAGCCTGATACACGGCAGCAATAATCCGTTAATAACAACAACCTGCATCCAGTAGTTTATCTGAAGCATAATGATGATTATCTCGCCGACACCGACCCTCCTTCTGGACATCCGTCGGCTCCGTAGATGGATGGAAGCCGCTGCACCTCCCCGTGTGGCTCTAATAAAGCATGGAGGACCAGACGTGGTGACCCTCAGCTGAACTCAAATTAAACTCCAGGACCACACAGAGGCTGACGCATCGCTGCATCAGGTGATGACTCCTGAAACCTCAACTTGCCAGCGTGTCGCTGCTCTCATCAGGAAAACTTAGCCGGCCGACGGGAAACTCCAGCAGACTAAAGCAGGAAGTGATGGATGATGGAGGACTGATGGGTCTGATGGATTAGAACTCCTCTCTGTGTTTGATTAGCACCTGACCGACTCTCCTCTACGATTTGTTCCACCTGTGTTAAAGGGATAGTTTAAAAGTGACTGGAATAAAAACTTCCAACTATTTCCCCTTCAATTAATTTAAAAACCCTCCACATATCATGGGTACAACTCATTTCACATCCACCCAACCCTGAGCTCCACCAGTCCAGGACTATATGAACCATCCTGCTCATGCTAACAACATATTGGTGCAAAATCAAACCATCTAACTGGTTGAATCATACACTTCTTGAGTTTTTGAACTGCGGTTCCCATGGTGCTTTGAGAGACGTAAACAGGAAGTACAAATACTGCTAAGGAGTTAGCATTAGGCTGCAACGTAAACTGCATTCTTATCGCCTGTATTTACATTTTGAATGACGCCGAATTAGTTCTGAGCAGTCACTGTTTGAAGCGTACCTCCATGTTGACAGATAAATGTCACGAGATCAGTTTGACACGATGAAAACCTAAAAACAGGCCGATTCTCAGGCAGGTTCTGCAGCTACAAGGAGCATCTCTTGTGGTGGTTTTTTAAGGATTCTTTTTTAAATTTATGAGATGATGACATGTTTGGAAAGTACAAGTCATGCTGAATCTAAAAATACGTGCATCACGTCTGTGTGCTCAGATTTGACTGAGTTATGACTCAGAGAAGGAGTTCTATTTTAGACCCAGAATGTGGCAGACGAGCACCGAGGACTTAAAGTAGCTTAATTGCCACCAAGATCTGTGTGTCGCTGTAGTGCTGCAGCTGAAATTGCTGACAGTGGCGGTAAGTGCATCAATTCAGCAGCTGAAACACAATCAGTCACTTCCTGTTGACTTGAGAACACCTGCATGCACCTGTCAGCTCTGAGTTCATCTCAGCTTCTGCACCGCAGTCTGAAGACAAATAATCGACCTCAATGTGGTCGGAAGACACAATTTAACGACAAAAATATTAAAACTACACCTTTCCAAATGTATAGAAAACATAAACTTATAAATATTTCAGAAGACAGTATCCTTAATTTATGCATATTTACTGGATGTTGGTGTTGTTACATCATCTACAGGACTGGCCTCCACATTCTGAGCCACAATCATCATTTTCCTTCTTTTGTTCATCTCACAAGGACATCAATTAGACATCAGCCAGATTAAGTGTAAACTCCTGCCTGGGCCTTTACAGACGACACCGTTATGTTGCTCATCTCTTGCGGATAACTTTGGCGTACGGCCAGCGTCTGGTCCTCTGAGGCTGAGTCCTTGGTGATTACTACGGAATAAACTGCAGTAAATATTGAGAGACAGGCCAAATTCAATTTATCAATGCATTGTTAAAATGTCCTTGTGCGAGAGCCGCAATGCTCACACGCGCCACTAGATGTCATCAGAAAGCCTTCGGAAACAGCTCGCCGTTTTCCTCGAGGGAGCCCATCCAGTCAATATGGAGACACACACAGTGGATGAGTTACTGCTGAGCATCGTCTTCTAAAGCGCTGCTCTCCACACATTCACCGACATAAATTAAATTGGGAGGTTCGTCTCTGAAGAGAACACAAGGCCACACAAACGCCCACACGTGCAAACAGGCGTTCATGTGCTGGATGCAGGCCAGAGAGTCGTATTAACCTGTGCAGATGAAGCTGGGGCTGCCGCCGTGGATCAGGTCATCGTTGTCGGGCAGGATGAACGGACAGCTCTGCTGGACCTCCAGGCAGTACTGGTGGCACGGTACCTTCCTCTGACAGGACTGCTGGGTGGTGGGGAAATACTGAGCACACAGCCAGGGCTTATAGGCCGTCTGAGGAGGAGGAGGAGGAGGAAGAGGAGAGGAGAGAAAATGACATAAATAGATGCAGGTTCATGCTCCACTTGAGGACTGGTGAAGTTACTGGGCTCTGCCGGGTCTGAGGCCTCCTGTGTTCATATCACATTCATACAAGAGCCCATTATAATCCACACCATAAACAATCATAGTTAAACATTTTTCCAATCAAATGCACACTTAATGCATTAATGAGGAAGTACTCGTTAACGCTGCCCTGCTGCTCACAGACCCACCGGATCAATCTGACTGCAGAGCTTCAGCTACACCAACAGTAAAATAAACCAAATCCAGTGTTTCATTTGCTTATTGATGGGACATGAATGATGAGAAGCTGCTGCAGCAGGTACAAGATGTAGGACTTTTTAAAAAAGGTATTTCAGGTTAAACCACACAAAGAACAACAGCTGTTTTCATTATGAACCAAACTAGTTAAAGGATTCAGATGTACTCCACACAGCAAAGACATGTTTTATCATCTGGTTTGGTGTGTTTGGCCGAGTAATGCCAAACCTGTTCAAAACCAAATGGAACCAGATAAGCTCACCAAATTTCAGCCGGTGTCCTCGTCCAAGTTAAATGTGCTGTTTTACACTGTGAGGCAGGATGTAATACAAAATGCACAGACTTATGTGCATAAGGAGACAGATGGTGACATGTAATAGCCAAAGCCTCGGGCTTGGAAAGCTTAGCAAAACAAAATGAACCAAGGGCAAACCACAGTCTGCTTTCATTCTCATTTTTAGCTCTTTCTTCCTGAACTGGTCTGAACACAGAAGAAGGGAAATCACAGCGAGGAGAGCAGGCAATCTATCATGCTCAACATGGAAATCAGATTTGTTTAGAACAGCCTCCTGTTGCCCAGATCTACAACCCAGGAGGATGAAAGTTCACATGATGAGTCCACGGCACCGGTCCTACATCGGCTAGAACCAAACTCATGCTGCCCATTTACCAACAGTCCAGCCTCTGTGGCTTTTGCTATACAGGCTGGTTTGTCTGTAAGCAGACAGCATGAGTTTAGTTTACTGTGAAACTAATACTAGGTTTTTAAAATCAATACATCAGCCAATAAATTGATAATACAGAGAGCAATGATGTCAGGTAGTATTCATTTTGCATACTAACACATAACAAACATATTTGCTTTGAGACCTTCAAATCAGGTATTTAAGAAACGTGAAAAAGATTTGGAAGGAGAGAATGACTATAGACATAAACACAACATTAATATATACAGAAGAGATGAGAACAAAGGAGGCTACAGCTATGCTAGCTGCTCTGTGAGGCACAGTGGTGCTACAGGCTGAAGTCAACAAGCTAAATGACAATGCTAGCATGCTAATATTTCACAACTATGTTTAGCAAAACGTTTCACCCTGGACCCAAGTAGTGGACGTCACACTGACATGGCAACAAGACGACATAACTGTACAACAAAGCTTAAAAGTCCACAGCCAAGCTAGCTGATCTGATACTGTAAGGCCTAGTGGTGCTTTACGCTAACGTCAGCAAGCTCACAGTGACGATGCTAGCGAGCATTTTACAACTATATTTACTAAATATACTATCTTAGTTTGTCGTGTTGAGATGTTTTAGTGTGAAAAAAGTGGTTGACTGTCACACAGACTCACACTGAT